TAGCTCTATATATATATGTGCACTCCTGCATGTGAACTGGCCTTGTGGCCTTGTCGTTGTGCTCGGACTGTGTGGTGACTTTGTGATCCACCCTGAGCTTGCTGTTCTTTGCGTGACTGGTCTTGTGACCCCTTATCTCCCCCACATTGCCTATGGGGGTGTGTCAGAACATATATATAGCTTATGCTGTTGTGTAGGCTATAGTGGGGTATCCCATAGGGGGTACAACCCAATTAGGGTTTCCTATATGTACTCACTTCATTCATAGTTCATCCATTCTCGTTCTCATTATCACATTCTGCGCGTTCCATCCGGCTTTTCTCACGGCAGCCATGAACATGGAATCTTGCGCGGTGTCGACGTAGGTGACTCCCGCCGCAGTGCCCGCAGCGACTTGCTTGGCGATGGTGGAGTGAAACAGCCACTAAGCTGTTTGGGCAGAGTAGTAGTAGTAGGAAGTGCTCTTAGGAGAATTTCAGGATGAAAGTAGTAAGATAGCTTTACAAGAGATCCTATGATGGCTTACATTTCAGAGATACATCCTAATATACTAGGATACTAGCAAGGGCGCCTCGAGCAGGTCGCTCAGGTCGCCTATCATCTTCCTAGAGCTAAGGACAGCAAGGCACATCTCAAATTTCATGAATCGTTTTACATAACGTAGATATACTTGCAACATATCCTGAAGTATACAAATAGTATGGGTCATTAGGGGTACCATAAAGTAGCATGCGTCGTAGGTATTTAGTATGTTTGGATTAGAATGTAAACGGTAGAGCACCAATGCATACCAAAACGATACCAACTTCACTAACAAAAACATACTCTTTGGTATGCATTTGTTTCACCATCTGTTTACAATTCCATACTGGCAAGTATATAATCTGCAAAATTATGTTATGCAAACATAGCAAATCACATATATACGGAACGAAAAAATCCCATACTAGCAACTAGTGCAACCACACAAATCAGTAACAAATTTGTTTAAATGTTAGGATCATTGTGTGTGTTAAAAATATTTATATTAGAGTTGCATGTACACAATACATGAAGATATTGCATCAGAGGCTCTACTAACTTTGCTGAATACACGACGCATATATCGGCACTGAACTTCCTGAAAATACAAACGACACACAGTTCAGGTGGAAATCACACGGAACGGCAGAGACCACCACGTACCTTTAAAAATGATAGTCGCTGCAAAAAACGACAATACAAATAAGGTCTGAAATTGAAACAACTGTCATCGCCGTTGCATAAGGTAGCACATAAAAACAACAGAAAGATGTAGGCAGTGTGGATGAGTAGCTGGCACGGAAATTTCATTGAGGGAGCTTCCCTTGAAGGCCTGCAGCAAAAACGGTCAAATGTTACAAAAGAGCAAAAGCGTACAAGCAACTGCAGAGCAATAGCACAGATCGGATCTCACTGAGAGCGACCGTGCGCCAAATTGACAAGAAACCAGACTGCGTCACGCCCTCAGTCGCGAATCCTTCTAGCAGCACCAGCAGCAGCAGCAGCAGAAGAAGAAGAACGTGCGCCTTACGCCACCACACACTCCGCCGCTAGCAGCAGGTAGCGCAGTTCACTTCACGCCCACTGCCGTGATTCTCGCCAGGAGTAAACCCTAGCTATAAGAACAGGCTGACAAAAATCTAACGCAGACACGAAAGGCATGGCAGTAACGGTTAAAGGTGATGCACGCTAAGTTAGGCAAGTGAACGAGGGCGACCGGAGATCTGAAGGGAAATGGCGTACTAACGCACGTAGAGCACCAATCTGCTTCTGCTGAGACGTGAATGGAAACACACGCAATAAGACTCAGAGAGGTGGGAGAGCTGGAGCAGTTGCGATGGGGAGAAGGGGGAGGCTGGGGGGATTGGGGAGGGGAGAGAATTTGTGACGCTGGAGATTGTGCGTTTGGCGAGCGCTGCTGCAATTGCGCCAGAGGCAGTTACAGCAGCAGCGCAGTTGCGCCAGCGACATTTACAACTGCTGCGCGGTTGCACTGGCTTTGGCAGCACAATGTTGCACTGCGCTGGCACTTGAGCGGCTGCGCTGGGTTGGCATATTCAGCGGTTGCGCTGGAAGCATTTGCAGCGCGATTGCTCAGCAGCGTTGCGCTGGCAGTCCAATTCAAGCAAACTCATCGCACAAAAATTTTCGTAACCAATCAAAATCTATCCGTATCGCCAGACATTGTTGCTGTAAATCGAATGAACCAATGATTGCCCAAAATGACGTGGATGTTGAAAAATGTCGGCAGAAGTGTTTGTCCGTGTCACGTCATTAAAACTTCACAATACACACAAAAACAGGATAGCTACAAATCCGATTATTGTGCTAAATATTTGACAAACATACAAGTGAAATGACTGGTATTTAAAAATCCCTGTCTATGATAGCAACAAAGGGCCATAAATGAAATCCTTGTCTTCAATATCATACACATGCGGGATATTTTATATGATTAATCACTAAAACGCATACATTCAATTGCGTTTAAGATCTGGTAAAATATACTAACAGCCATACTGGTCACATAATTTGATGCATCAGCTTTATGGGACTTCAATTTTCTCTTTTGAACAAAGGAATGGTGGTAAAAAAGACATCCAGACGTTGGCGAGTTGACATGTTACGCACAGGCCTATTCTGTCAGAGGTCCACTGGTGATCCCCGATTGATCCTAGGGAAGGGCTACAGGCATGTTGGCCTGGGGGGTTATGGGCGCACTGACCCGCTACTTAACAAGCCCTTTTATCCCAATGGTCTAGTGGTTGGGATTCTGACATATTGTTGCATAGTTCGAGACCAGCAAACGCACGAACAAGCGCCAGGAGCTACGTAGTTGAGCGAACGAGCTCAAACCAGTTCCTATGGCAAGGGAATAGGATGCACTTCCCTAATGTGTAAATAAATAGTGTTAAAAAAGGCATCCAGACGTTGGCGAGCTGCCATGTTGAGCGCATGCCTATCTTTGCACAAATTTACAATGAAACGCACGAACAAGCGCCACGTGCTGCGTAGTTGTGCGAACGAGTTCAAACCAGTTCCTATTGTCAAACTTATTTGCTATAGTCTGTGTAGGCTGTAGTGGGGTAGATAATATGGGGTACAACACTTTTAGGTTTTCCTACTTGTACCAACATGTTTCCTAGTGCATTCATTCCTCGTTCTTTCACATGGTATAGAGCAGGTTCCCTAGTGGGAACGTTTCCTAGGGCCCACCGAAAATTGGAGTTTTTTTTTTCCTGCCCGGAGCGCGCTTCGCCCCTGCCCGAGTCGCGCCCCGTGTGCCTGCCCTCGGGGTGTGTCAAACTTATATGCTATAGTCTGTGTAGGCTGTAGTGGGGTAAATAATATGGGGTACAACACTTTTAGGTTTTCCTACTTGTACCAACCTGTTTCCTAGTGCATTCATTCATCGTTCTTTCACACCTATGGCTAGGGAATAGAATGTAATAGGGAATTGTGCGAAGAAATAGAGGTAAACAAATTTTCTAGACGTTGAAACGGTGACATGTTGCATACAGGCCTATCCTTGCACAGATTCACCATGGAACGCACAAACATGCGCCACGTGCTGCGTAATTGTGCGAACTAGCTCAAACTAGTTCCTATGGCTAGGGAATAGGATGTACTAGGGAGCTGTGCAAAGAAATAGAGGTAGAAATAACTTCCAGATGCTGAAACGGTGACATGTTGCGTACAGGCCTATCCTTACACAGATTCACCATGGAACGCACAAACATGCGCCACGTGCTGCGTAATTGTGCGAACTAGCTTAAACCAGTTCCTATGGCTAGGGAATAGGATGTAATAGGGAACGGTGTGAATAAATAGTGGTAAAAATGGCATCCAGGCGTTGGCGAGCTGACATGTTGCACACAGGCCTATCCTTGCACAGATTCACTATGGAACGCACAAACATGCGCCACGTGCTGCGTGGTTGTGCGAAAGAGCTCATACAAGTTCCTATGGTTAGGGAATAGGATGTAATAGGGAACTGTGCGAATAAATAGAAATAAACAAAACATCCAGACGTTGAAACGGTGACATGTTGTGCACAGGCCGATCCTTGCACAAATTCACAATGGAACGCGCAAACATGCGCCACATGCTACGTAGTTGTGCGAACTAGCTCAAACAGAGATAAACGGGGATCGAGGGGGGTAGTCTTAAATGAATAGAAGAGGCTTCGACAATCTGCTGCAATTCCTCGTCACACACGATAATAAATTGTCGGGAAAAACGGTGCACCAGATATCACCGAATAAACGATAAAAAACCATCAGCCTCCAACTCGAAAAATGACCATTACTCGGCAGTTTCACATTTTTCTGATGATTGGCACAATCTGAGAACATTTGCAAGCAAGTCAGAGGAAAAATATGAATTTAGCATATACAAAATCGTTTTACAGTGGCGTTTTACATACTAAACCAATATTGGTAACTATAGAGTACACATTTACTTACCATACGGGGATTCATTTCGCCTACTGTTTGCGGAACGAAAAACCGCATACTGAAAACCCTTTCCCGATTTTTGAGATGCATAGTCATTATGATTATGTACAAGACATACTAGCCTTGTTGTCATATCCTAGAACCAATAAGCATAGCCTAGGAATTCACTAAGGTAATGAGCAGAGATTATTTGTCTTGTTGTCGTCCATGGTGTCGTTGATAATGATGACCACGAGCTCTGTTGGAAGTAGCCATGGCTGTAGGAAAGTATGCTTGCTTGTGCTGTCAAATACTTTGCTGCGCTGTTGGAGTTCTCTGCCCCGTTGTGTCCAGCACTAGTAGTATGCTCTCTGGAGTTGTTCCCACGGTTGGAAACTCAGAATTACGAGCCGCACAATTCAATGTTGGATTCCAACATTGAATTCCCAAAATGTACTTAGGGTGTGTTCCGAATTCTGGTTCGGATCACAAGGAGCTGAGTTGGCGAAATCGAGGATGACGAGATCGCCTTCGTCTTGTTACATGGAGGGAACCTCAGTCATGAGCCCATCGTCCTTCTTGGACGTGGGGTCGGGCTTCGCGTTGGCCGTGGGGCTCGTGATGGAGGCGGGTTTGGCGGCGGGGGCGCTCGTGACGGGGGCGCTCTTGGTCGTAGCAGGGGCGGCAGGAGCAGCAGCCGCGCTGAGAACGAAGAGCAATGCGACGGAAAGCGCCAGAAGCGCGGGCTTGTGAGCCATACTTACGAGCGCAACGTGCGAATTGCGAATACTACACGACGGGTTTGAAAGGAAATTTGTGTGATGATGAATGGGGTCTGGCGGGTGACTTTATACTGATGCTCGTGGAGTACCTATGAGTGATGTTGTGTGAAATGAGTGAGACAGGCAAGAGTCGGGTCGGGTCGGGACTCGGGCAGGACTCTGGTGGCCTCAACTCAATTCTCCCGCTTTGCAATTCGACTCGCAAATTGCAATCCCAATTCCAGAATTGAGAGCCTTTTTCGAGTCGCAGGTGTTTTCGGAAATTCAGGCGAGGCTCTGAATTTTGCCAATTTTCGTAATGGTGATGGCAGGCGATTCGACAATTGTACTTCCGTGTTCCCACACACTGTATGTACAGTATGTGGCAAGGAATGAGGTGAAGGGAGATTGCTGCTCCAGTTTCTGTATCAACTGCACGTCACCGACAGAGCTGATCTGGCCGAAACACAACCACCTGATCTTTAGAGGGTGGTCATACGAGGTCAGATACACAGTGAGTCATTCACTCGTTGCAAAGCGTGCACACGAGACAAACCTCCGTGAATTAGCCTCCTATAGCACACGCGCTATAGTGTACAATGTAGGTCCAGCTGCTACAACATCTAATTGCGATCCGCGCAATATTTTCTTATCAGAGCTTTAATTTCGTTGCCAACTTCCTTTGTGGAAACCCGGCTTGTGTCACTTCCTCTATCAGCACTTGTGTTGCCCAGACCCAAGACTGAGGTTATTAACGAGTGATTTTTTTCCTAGATATTTCGTTAGCGCTCGTTAGTCAAGCAGGGCTGACTGCTGCAAGTTCAGCGATATCTCTCTCTCCAGGCTCGTGCGATCACGCCGCCCACGTCAGCCATGCCGCTCGGTCAAAGAGCCGGCGACGCGAGCGAATCTCGATACTGCGGTGCCGAGGTCGCTTATAGCGAGGACATCCATCACACATTGGCGGCGAACTTGGCAGGAGGCTTTGATTTCATCGTCGCTCCTCTAGTACGCCGCGACCCGCAAACCCTCCTTCGCTCTTTCCCACCCTCCCTCCCTCCCGCCATTTGCGGACGACAAGCTCCTCTTCTCCTGATTTCGGGTGCAATATCGCACAGTGTTTGTTGGTAGATTGCACCGTACATTGCCGGAATTACCGAACCTGAGATCAGCGAGGCGATCTTTTGCACTTAACGGAGATTTCTAATTCGGCTCAAAAGTCACCTCGGGGTTCCCGAACCTGAGATCAGCGAGCCAATCCTTTGCACGGGAAGGAAAAGGACTGCCGCAGATCAGCGATATCGTTTCCTAAGCAGTATTGAGAGCGCAAAATGGATATTGGGGGACGTTTGCGCGCACCTTCCGACCCATCCCTGAGCTAGTACTTGCTACAACCAGCCTCAATAGTTGTTCGTAGTTATGACCGAAGGCTTCGATCTTCTGAGATATCCCCAAAACCACGTATGGCGGATCAGACTTCTGAGCCATGAAACCCTAGATCCGCCACTCGTGCCATCCACTTCTCACCAAACCTCAGGCTGATCCCGCTTCCCCACCGGCCGAGGCGAGACAAGAGGATTCAGGCGGCGCAGTGGTGCCGTCTGGGGCCAGACCTAGTAGTCCTCACTCCGCCCTCCCGCTTTTGAATTCTCTTCCCTGTTTATGCGCCTTCGCCCTTCGAGGCGCCTCACAGTGGTGCCTATTATCCCTCACTCCGACACTCCCCGTTTGATTTCTCTTCCTTTTCCCTCCCTAGACCGACCCGTCCTACCGGCCGAGCGAAGCTAAGCCCGCTGCGGCAGGCGGAGCGGTGGTGCCGCCTTTCGCGGGATCGGACCTGGTGCTGAGCCCGTCGCAATGGAGCAGCCACGTGGTCGGCAAGCTCTCCACGTGGGCTGACGTGGACTCCCCGGATGCGCTGATGCGATCTGACAGCGAGACTGTGATTAAACAGGAAATCAGCTGGGCCTCGCATTTGTCACTTCAGGTCAGTGGCTCGGATTGGATCACTAGAATTGATCAAATATAGCAGTTGCTGTAGAAGTAGGCTGGCTGGGGGTAAAAGACGGTAGAGACGGGTTTCAGGGTTTTGCGGAGGTTTTGTAATAAAAACGTTTTTGTTTCCCTTTTTTCCGCCTTCCACGAATTTCTCAACGTTCAGTTTCATTCAAATCCGGGTGGCGTGCCGCCCATGCCCAGGGACAATGCCCTGTGCTGCCATGCCAAATACACTCGCTATCGAGACACACTCCCATTGCATGTCAAAAAACCCCACCTTCTGAGTCGACTCAAAAAGCGACTCAATACGCTCGCTATCTAGAAACACTGCCATTGCATGTCAAAAACCCCCACCTTTTTTTTACTCCCTTCTCCCCCCCAAACCCGTCTTCCGCTCCCCACCCTCTTCTCTTTCCTCCCTTCCCACGTCTCCCCAACCCCCCCTTCCCACAAACCATGTCAGGTGTGCCTGTTGCCCACAGTCAACCTCCTTGTGCGTGTGGTCGTGCCTAGTGCCTACTTTGAATCCCCAATTTTTCTTGACTTCTGCTGGTTCCCCCTAAACACTCCCCCCTCCCCCCCTTCCCACTCCCGCCCCCCCCCCCCCTTCACCCTCACCCGTCTTTTCCTTCCCCTTTCCCCCTGTCCGATCGGTGAGCAGGCGTGTCTGCTACCGACGCCTAGGGGGCTCTTGACTGCGGCAACTATGCGCGGTGCATAAGAAATAGACGTATCCCCTCTCTCTCCCTCCCTCTCTCCCCCTCCAAACCCCCTAATTCCACCCCCCTAAATCTGTTCAGGCATGTCTGCTGCCGACGCCCAGGGCTCTGGATTGCGGCAACTACGCGCGGTGCATCAACCAAGTGCTGCAGGGGCTGTCCAGCATGCAGGTGGGGGAGAGTGCGGATGGGTGGAGATGGGTGTGGGGGTGGGATATGGATGTGGGCTGTAGCAACTACAATGCGTGGTGCATTAACCAAGTGCTGCAGGGGCTGTCCAGCATGCAGGTGGGTTAGGGTTTGAGGTTTGGGGCATTGGGGTGTGGTTGGGCGTGATTGGGCGTGGTTGGGTGGGGTTGGGTGGGGTGTGCATGTGGACTGCACTGCAGCGGTGGCAACTACGCGCGGTGCATCAACCAAGTGCTGCAGGGGCTGTCCAGCATGCAGGTGGGGTGGGAGGGGGGGTGGTGGGGGGGAGTGGTTATAGATGAGGTATGCATGTGGGCTGTAGCAACTACTATGCGCGGTGCATCAACCAAGGGCTGCAGGGGCTGTCCTGTCCAGCATGCAGGTGAAGGGGTGTGGATGGGTGGGCGGTTGGTGAGTGTGTGTGTATATGTGGTGCAAATGGGTGGGTGTGTTTATGGGAGTCGTGTGTGTGTATATGCGGTGCAAATGGGTGGGTGTGTTTATGGGAGTCGTGTGTGTGTATATGCGGTGCAAATGGGTGGGTGTGTTTATGGGAGTCGTGTGTGTGTATATGCGGTGCAAATGGGTGGGTGTGTTTATGGGAGTCGTGTGTGTGTGGATGTATCTGCATCAGCTGCCGCCTCCCCCTTCCCCGCCCTTTCCTCTGCTCTCGCCCTCTAGGCCTGCTGACTGTACTTCCCTCCATCACGCTACAAATGTCTACGTACTCATTCCCATTGTCCCACCCACCCACCACCTCTTCCCCCCCCCCCCCCCCCCCCCCCCCTCACCACCGCTCCCTCATCTGCACCGCACCGCACCGCTTCCTTACCCTTACCCTCCTCCACCCCCCTACCCAGTTCCCCCCACCCCACCCTCACCACCTCCCTACCCTCACCGCCCCTCCACCCTCACCTCCTTCCACCCCCCACCCTCGTCCTCCTCTTTCCCACCTCTCCCACCCCCGCTCCCTTCCTCCCTCCCCTTCCCCATTCCACAGCAGCTGTGGCTGCGCATCCCCATAGTAGCGCCAGTGCTACAGGCAGCAGAGGGCAGCCCAGCGTAGTCCCTGCCCAGCGTAGTCCCTGCCCAGTGTAGTCCCTGCCCAGTGTAGTCCCTGCCCAGTGTAGTCCCTGCCCAGTGTAGTCCCTGCCCAGTGTAGTCCCTGCCCAGTGTAGTCCCTGCCCAGTGTAGTCCCTGCCCAGTGTAGTCCCTGCCCAGCGTAGTCCCTGCCCAGTGTAGTCCCTGCCCAGTGTAGTCCCTGCCCAGTGTAGTCCCTGCCATGCTCCCTTTGTTTTCCACCCAACCCCCACCCGCCTCCCCTTCCCCCCCCCTCTCTTCCCCCCATCCCATGCAGCTGTGGCTGCGCATCCCCATAGTAGCGCCAGAGCTGCAGGCAGCAGAGGGCAGCGTGGAGGTTTGGGTTTGGCCGCCGCAACAACCTCTTCTCCTTGTTCTTTCCTCTCTATCCTTGTGTGAAGAGGCGATTTTTGAGTCGACTCAAAAATCGCAAAAACCTCTTCTCCTTGTTCTTTCCTCTCTATCCTCCCCTTCCCCCCCTCCCTCCTCTTCTTCTCCCCATCCACCGCAGCTGTGGCTGCGCATCCCCATAGTGGCGCCAGAGGTGCAGGCAGCAGAGGGCAGCGCAGAGGAGGACGCTGTCATGCTGGTGAGGGGGGTGGGTGCATTGATGGTGTTGAAATCGCGGCTATGTGGGGGGATAGCGTGGGGTGGCGGCTGTGGTGGTGGTGGTGTGAGGCGCAACGAACGGGGGCCAGCAGGGCAGGCAGCAGAGCATAGGGCAGTGCTGAGGAGGATGCTGGGATGATGGTGATGAGGGGAGTGGGTGCGTTGAGTTGGGGCTGTGAGGGGGAAGCGTGGTAAGTAGCGGTGTTTCATTTCAAAGGGCCAACTGTCCTTTCATTTCATTTCTGGACGTTGGGGCCGCAGGAAAGATGGGGTACACCGGGGAAGGACGGAGTCCTAAGGGTGAGGTGAGGCGAGGTGAGGTGAGTTGAGATGAGGTGAGGTGAGGTGAAGTGAGGAGAGGTGAGAGAGGGAGGGACGCATGCGGGTGATTGAAAAGTGTTTGCTGTTCATAGTCTGGGCTATGCATGTATGGACCTTTCTTTTGAGAGTTTGCAAATGTGACTCGGCTGTACGATTTTTTAGACGCCTTAAAAATCGTCTCAGTTGTGAGGCGCCTCAAACATAGTCTGGGCTATGCATGCATGGGTCTCTCTTTTGATAATTTGCAAAGGTGACTCGGCTGTAGGAACAACAATACAGATGGTCCGTGCTTGAACCACAACCTATCGTTCTCGCCCCCCCCTCTCTTCCCCCTCCTCTCTTCCCCCTCCTCTCTTCCCCCTCCTCTCTTCCCCCTCCTCTCTTCCCCCTCCTCTCTTCCCCCTCCTCTCTTCCCCCTCCTCTCTTCCCCCTCCTCTCTTCCCCCTCCTCTCTTCCCCCTCCTCTCTTCCCCCTCCTCTCTTCCCCCTCCTCTCTTCCCCCTCCTCTCTTCCTATCGTTTCTCGCTCTCCAGTGCCTCTCAAGCGCCTCCCTAATCTCCACCCTCCTCTTCCCCTCCTGCTCTCCCAACACTGCAGTAACGTGACCCCAACACCAATCGCATGCTTCACAAGAGCTGGGAGTGGCGGAACGCCTTTTGCTGCCCCTTCTCCCCTCACCCTCCCCAACCTCTTCCCCACTCCCCTTCCTCTTCCCCTTCCCCTTCTCCTCCTCTCTCCCCACCACAGCAGCGCGACCCTAACACGAACCGAATGGTGAACGACAGCTGGGAGTGGTGGAACGCCTTCCGCTGCCTGTGTGAGCACCACGGGCACCTCTCTGTCGCCCTTGACATCACGTGAGTTTCCCTCCCTGTCTGTGTGCTTCGCCCTCGCCCCTCGCCCCTTGTCGCTCACCCATTGTTCGTTGGTTGGTTGAAGCGCTGCTGTTCAGCTGCATTGAAGCACTTGCCTCGCCTTCAGGGGGAGCAGGGTGGGAGATGAGGGCGCCACTCCCCATCCACCACTCCCCACCACCCACCACTCACCACTCACCACCGTCAACCGTGGTGCACCCATGATTCGTTGGTTGGTTGAAGCGCCGCTGTTCAGCTGCATTGACGTGCTTGCCTCGCCTTCCTCACTGCACTCCCTTCTTGCTCCTCGTCCCTCTCCCTTCCTTCCCCTCCCTTACCCCTCCCCTTACCCCTGCCTACTCTCTCGCCGTGCTTAGTGGGTCACTCCCATCGCCTTCTGCCCTGCACCGGTGGTTGGGAGAGCCAGTCAGAGCAGCAGTCATCTTTGAAAATTCTCACAAGTGGTTCTAATTCTGTCCCCCCTGCCCCTGCCCGTGCCCGTGCCCGTGCCCGTGCCCCTACCCCTGCCTCTGCCCCTGCCCCTGTCCCTGCCCCTGGCCCTTCCTCCTTCTTCCCCCCAGCGGGTCACTCCCCTCGCCATCTGCCCTCCACCGGTGGCTGGGAGAGCCAGTCAGAGCAGCCATTCTGCACACATCTGTAAGCCAGTCAATCCCAGTCAACGCCAGTCAACGCCAGTCAACGCCAGTCAACGCCAGTCAACGCCAGCCAACGCCAGCCAACGCCAGCCAACGCCAGCCAACGCCAGCCAACGGCAGACAACGCCGCCAGACAAATGCAGTGAAAGCCAGTCTTCCCGTTAGTGATGAGGCGATTTTTGAGTCGACTCAATTTCGCTATATTGCCCTTTCGTTTCGCCTACTCCCTTCTCCCTCACCCTTCTTTCCTCCCTCCTCCGCTTCTCCGTCCTCCCGTATCTCGCGCCTGTGGGCTAAGATTGATTCAAGGTCGTTTTGCCGTTACCCGTTTTTTCAATGCCTTCTCTTGCTCTGTTTCCATCATTTGCTGCCTCACAGGCGTTGTTTGAGTCAACTAAAAAACGTTTCCCCTCATGTTCTGCTGCCCCACAGGCCTTCCTCACAAACAAGAAAGGCTATCCTTGTCTGTCCAAGAAGCATCAAGCGCTCATCCACACACTCTTCAACCACTCCGTCCAAGTGAGTACAAGCGAGGGCCTTTGAGTACTTTGCAAGTGAGTGAGAGCGCTTGTGGCGACTTGTGTGATTCGCCTCAAAAGAAACACACCCTTCAACCACTCCGTGCAAGTGACCTCCTGTGCTCTCTCGCCCTCCCCACCTTTCTCGTGCTCTCTCGCCCTCCCCACCTTTCGCGTGCTCTCTCGCCCTCCCCACCTTTCTCGTGCCTCCCCACCTTTCGCTTCCCCATCCTCTCTTTTACCATTCCCATATTTCCAACTGACTGCAGGGCCCCTCTAATTCCTTTCCTCCTCTGTTCGTGCCTCCATTTTTCCCCCTCCCACCTACATTTCTCTCCCTTCTGCACATCCATCCCCACAGATAGTGATATGCGGGCAGCCCCTGCACGGCCCCTCTGACGCCGCTGCCATGGAGGCATCAGCGGGCAGTGACGACAGTGGCAATGAGGGGAGTGATGGGGGTGAGTGATTGTGATTATATGCCATGCCATGTGACATTAGCGAGCAAGGGGCGATTCTATCTTGAGAAGTGTGTTTACCCAAGACAGGCAGGCAGTGGTGACAGCAGCAACGAGGGCAGCAATGGGGGTGAGTGTTGTGGTGCTATGCGTGGGGAGTAGTGATGTGAGTATAGCAGGGGTACGGCAAAGGGGGGGGTGAGTTTGATTGGCTCACCCTTGACTTGAACCCCCTCCCTCTCTTTCTCATGACAGCGTTGAGACAGTGGCAACAAGGGCAGTGACGGGTGGGGGGGTGCGTTATCATATGCAATGCAATGTGATTGTAGCGAAGGGAGATTACACCCTAGCATGATCAGCAGCAGATTAGCGCCCTCTGATGCATCTGCCATGCATGCACATTACCTACCAATCTCTCCTCCATACCCCCCTTCTCTCACAGGCGACGCAGTCATTCCCAAGCATCTGCTGCGCCTCTATCTAGAGTTCACATAGCAGCTATGCCATCCCTCTCCCCTCTCCCCCCCTTCCCCCCCTGCCTCCACCCTTCTCTCTCTTCTCTCCCAGGCGACTCAATCATCCCCAAGCATCCCCTGCGCCTCTACCTCTAGAGCACACAGCAGCCGCTCCCGCCCCCCACGCCCCCTCTTTCTCCCCACACCCCCCCGCTTCCCCCTTTCCGCTCTAATGTTACGGGCGACACGGTCATCCCCTCCCCGAGCAGTCGGAAGCAGACAGGTGGGCTGCAAAGGCTCGAGCACCCGCTCCGCCTCTACCTCCAGTGCACAGCTGAGCAACCCCGTCTCAAAACCCCTTCGCTCCTTTTTCTTTTTCTCCCCACCCTTGTTTTGAGACGTCTCAAAACCCCTTCTCTCCTTTTTCTTTTTCTCCCCACCCTTGTTTTGAGACGTCTCAAAACCCCTTCTCTCCTTTTTCTTTTTCTCCCCACTCTTGTTTTGAGACGTCTCAAAACCCCTTCTCTCCTTTTTCTTTTTCTCCCCACCCTTCCCCCCTCCCTTCTCCCTCCCCTTCTCCTCCCCCTACGGGTGCCACAGCCATCCTCCAACCAAGCATCCGTTGCGCCTATACTTAGAGAGCACTTAGCAGCTGTGCCCAACACCCAACACACCCCACCCTCATCCACGTCATCTCTTCCCCACCCCCTTCCTCTCTCTCAGGCGACACAGTCATCCCCAAGCATCCTTGCGCCTCTACCTAGAGTACACTTGGCGGCTGTGCCCAACATGCCCCCCCCCTCCCTCCCCCCCTTTTCCCACTTTGTCTCCCCTCCCGCTCTCTCACAGGCGACACAGTCATCCCCAAGCATCCGCTGCGCCTCTACCTAGAGTACATTGCTCATCTCTACCGCAAGCTGGACCCGCTCACAGAGCAGGAGCGCTTTGAGGTTAGCTAGCGACAGCCGTGAGTAATAAGCCATGTGTCCGCTGTGGGTGTTATCCTCTCCCCCTACCTAGAGTACATCGCTCACCTCTATCGCAAGCTGGACCCCTTGACAGAGCAGGAGAGATTCGAGGTGAGGTGAGCACTTAGAGTAATAAATGTTGACTGCTGTGAGTGTTATCCTCTCCCTTGTCTTGACTACCTAGAGTACATCGCACATCTCTACCGCAAGCTCGACCCCTTGACGGAGCAGGAGAGGTTCGAGGTGAGGTGAGTACCCTCTATGCGTAATAAGCCATGTGCTTCGGGTATTACCCTCTATCTAGAGTACATCGTCCACCTCTACCGCAAGCTGGACCCGCTCACAGAGCAAGAGAGGTTCGAGGTGAGGTGAGCACCCTCTATGTGTAATAAGCCACGTGTTGTGAGTGAGTGTTACCCTCTACCTAGAGTACATCGCGCACCTCACGAGTGGTGTTGGTGAATGCGATGAGAATTGAATGAGACACTGTGGCCGCTGTGAGTGTTATCCTCCACCCTTGAGTACATTTTTGAGACGCCTAGACTGAGCAAAAGTCGTCCACCTAGAGTACATTGCATCGCATCGCCTCGACCTCTTGACGGAGAACGAGAGGTTCGATGTGAGCCCCTCTCTTGACCAGGGCGCCTAAAAAATCCTGTCGGTTTTGAGGCGCCTCAAAAATCGTCTCAGTTTTGAGGCGCCTAAAAAATGGGGTGAGTGTTGCTCCATGGTCTCTCAGTGTGATTTATTTCACACATTTGAGCTTGCCTTACTCTATAGCTGACCACATTTATCATCAGTGTGGTGAAATGTAAGCAGTCACACTCCACCTGAACCCTGCCATTCCCCTCCCCACTCCCTCTTCTCTTCCCTCCCCTTCTCCTCGTTTGCTCCTTTTCTCCATCCCGGTCCTTGTACCTCCCCTTCCTCTCTTCCTCTCCCTCTTTCCTTCCCCCCTCTTCCCCCCGACTCTTGTCAAATTGGCTATCGGGACGAGTGGGGGTAGGTAGAAACCTACAAGCCCCTCTGCAAGTGGTTTTAAGAGTCCTCAGAAACCATTCTCTCTTCCCCTTTCCCTTCTTCCTATGCCCCTTTCCCTTCTTCCTATGCCCCTTTCCCTTCTTCCTATGCCCCTTTCCCTTCTTCCTATGCCCCTTTCCCTTCTTCCTATGCCCCTTTTCCCTCTTCCTCTGCCCCTTCCCCCTCTCTCTTTTCCCCTCCCCTTCGTTTACCCCTCCCGCCCACCTCATGCCAGATCGGCTACCGGGACTTCCTACAAGCCCCACTGCAGGTGAGAATAGTTTTGTATCCCCACCCATCACCGCGGTCCCCCACCCATCACCGCGGTCCCCCACCCATCACCGCGGTCCCCCGCCCATCATCGCGGTCCCCCAGCCATCACCGCAGTCCCCCATCCATCACCGCAGTCCCCCAGCCATTGCCCCAACCATCACCTCATCTCATCCCTCCCCAAGCGCTCATTCTCGCCACGTTCTTCTCCGGCCAAGGTCAATGCGCTAACCTCCACACACCCCCTCTCCCTTCCCACTCACTCCTTTTCGCGTCGACTCGGAATCAATTCCACGCCCATTCCTGGCATGCTCTTACCCTCCCCAGAGTCAGCTCCCGCACCGCACCTGCACACATTCCTCTCGCTGCAGGGTGTTGTTGAGAATTCTCCCGTACCTGCAGGTGCGGGACCCGACTCTCAAAAACACCCTGCAGCATCAAATCAAAGTCGGTCGGGTCCTGTACACATTCCGCTCCCTTCCCACTCACTCCCTGCCTGATACTATCGTCTCTTCTGCCTTTTCCTCCCCCTCTTCCCTCCTTCCTTTCACAGCCACTAATGGATAATCTCGAGGCTCAAACTTACGAGACGTTTGAGAAGGATGCTACAAAGTACTCGCAGGTGAGACGCGGTGGGATGCGGTGCAGCCCAGGGGTGCAAGCAGGTGGGTGGCATACGGTGCTCTCGTGTTCTCTCCTCTCCTCTCTCATGCTCTCTGCAATCATTGCCAGTGCGCCTGTGTTTCTTGAGTGTACAGTCTACCTTCATACATGCACTTTCACCTGCCGTTATCCTCCTCTCTTCCACCCCTTTGTGCCCACCTACCCCCGTGCGTCAACAGTATCAAAAGGCCGAGTACGCTGCACTGATGGACAGGGTGTTGAATTATGAGGCAGAGAGCAGCACCGTTTTCATGCGCACACTCTCACCTCCCCGTTATCCTCCTCCCTTGCTCTCCCCCGTGCCCACCCACCCCCACTCCCGTGCCCCCCAACAGTACCAAAAGGCCGTGTACGCTGCACTGATGGACCGTGTGCCGGATAGTGAGGCAGAGAGCAGCACTGTGGTGAGTGCCGAATTTCCATTGTCCTCTTACTCTTACTCGCTCAACACATGGCCCACATGGGCGAGTGCGTGATGGGAAGCTGCAGGTGTTGACTGTGGGAAGCTGCAGGTGTTGACTGTGGGAAGCTGCAGGTGTTGACTGTGGGAAGGGAAGCTGCAGGTGTTGACTGTGGGCAGGTTTTTCATTCATTGGGACCTCGCCTCGACATGTTATCTTCTTCTGTTTGCTCGTGTTACCCGCGAGCTCACTTGAATTGTGCCTTCCTTTCCCTCCATTCTCACATCACATGCCCCTTCCCCTCTATCCTGTCCATTCTCCCAATCCACCCTCCCATTCCCCACCCTTTCTCCGTTCCCTTCCACCACTGTGTCTCTCCCCCTCAGGTGCTCATGGTGGTAGGAGCAGGCCGAGGTCCGCTGGTTAGAGCATCATTGCAGGTGGGCTGTGTGATCATGATGCGCTGCGCACGGCAGGAAGCTTCTTCTGCTGCTGCTGCTGCTGCTGCTGCTGCTGCTGCTGCTGCTGCTGCTGCTGCTGCTGCTGCTGCTGCTGCTGCTGCTGCTGCTGCTGCTGCTGCTACTGCTGCTGCTGCTGCTGCGGCAGCGGCAAAGATGGTGTGAATGAATGTCTTTTGAGCCGCCTCAGATGTCGTTTCATGGCTCTTGTGGTGGCCCGGAAATGGTGTGAAATTTATTTTTGTAGAATGTGTGTGCCACACCATCCATACCACGTCGTCAATGCCACGTCATCCATGCCACGTCATCCATGCCCCAGGCAGCATCAGAGGCAGGGCGCAAGCTGAAGCCTGAAGGTGTATGCCGTGCCGTGGAGAGTCCTCTTGTGCCTTGGCTCTTAGAATGCCCTTGTCCCATCCACTCTCTCCGACCCTCTCCACGTCATCTGGTTCTCCCAGGCAGCAGCGGAGGCGGGGCGCAAGCTGAAGGTGTATGCCGTGGAGAAGAACCCTAACGCTGTCGTCACTCTGCATGTGAGCACACGTTACAGTCACACACACTGCATGTGAGCACAAGTTACAGTCACACACACTGCATGTGAGCACAAGTTACAGTCACACACACTGCATGTGAGCACAAGTTACAGTCACACACACTGCATGTGAGCACAAGTTACAGTCACACACACTGCATGTGAGCACAAGTTACAGTCACACACACTGGATGTGAGCACAAGTTACAGTCACACACTGCATGTGAGCACAAGTTACAGTCACACACACTGCATGTGAGCACAAGTTACAGTCACACACACTGCATGTGAGCACAAGTTACAGTCACACACACTGCATGTGAGCACAAGTTACAGTCACACACACTGCATGTGAGCACAAGTTACAGTCACACACACTGCATGTGAGCACAAGTTACAGTCACACACACTGCATGTGTGTTGTCATGGTCTTGCTGTGTGTGAGCTCTCGTGCTAGTCGCACTGCGTGTTTGACAGCCTGGGCAATGGCTTTCATTATAGTCACACTGCAAACTTTTCAGATGCAAACGTTAGAGCCACGTGCCCCTCATGCGCATGCCCCTTGTTGCGCGTGCCCCTCCCTCCCCTCCCGTGCGCTGCAACAGAGCCTGGTGGCGTTGGAGGGATGGCAGGATATGGTCACCATCGTCTCCTCTGACATGCGCAGGTGAGCGTGAGCGTGAGCGTGGAGGGCCCTGTGCGGAGTGCATTCCGCAGGGATGGCAGGATATGGTCACCATCGTCTCCTCTGACATGCGCAGGTGGGCTGGTGTGTGTGCTGGGGTGCTGTGGTGTGCAAGTGATCATGCTGAGTCAGAGCATGCTGCGTGCAGTTCAGGTGAGCTAGCGTGTGACATCCTTTTGAGATGTCTCGAAAGACTACAGGTGAGCTAGCGTGTGACATTTTTTTAGCATGCTGTGTGCAGTTCAGATGTCTCAAAAGACTACAGGTGCGCTAGCGTGTGACATGAGCAGGTGGGTGAGAGCGTGAGTGTGACGTTTGAGTCGACTAGAAAGTCTGTAGGTCATCGTCTCTCCTGACATGCGAAGGTGTGTTTTGCTTGCTGGTGTGCAGCAGGTGAGGTCGAGCGTCCTTGTCCCCGCTCCACTCTCCACCGTTTCCACCCCCCCACCTCTCCCTGTCCCACCCTCCACCCCACCATCAGTTGGAAAGCACCAGAGCTGGCGGACATTCTTGTGAGCGAGCTGCTGGGGTCGTTTGGGGACAATGTCGTGACTCAAAGGCACTCTTTCCCTCCCACCTCTCTCCTATTTCTCCCTGTCCCACCTCCACCCCGCCATCCTCAGTTGGAAAGCACCAGAGCTGGCGGACATTCTAGTGAGCGAGCTGCTGGGGTCGTTTGGGCTAAAGAGGGGACTCAAAAGAGGCACTCCTCTCCCCCCTTCCTGCCCATCCCCATCATCAGTTGGAAAGCACCAGAGCTAGCAGACATTCTAGTGAGCGAGCTGCTGGGGTCGTTTGGAGACAACGAGTTGTCGCCCGAGTGCCTCGACGGGGCCCAGCGCTTCCTCAAACCAGACGGCATCTCCATCCCCGCCTCGTGCGTACCTACTGTCTGAGTAGTATCTGTCCGTACTAGGTATGTCTGCTTGCTATGTCTGCTTGCTATGTCTGCTTGCTATGTCTGCTTGCTATGTCTGCTTGCTATGTCTGCTTGCTATGTCTGCTTGCTATGTCTGCTTGCTATGTCTGCTTGCTATGTCTGCTTGCTATGTCTGCTTGCTATGTCTGCTTGCTATGTCTGCTTGGTATGTCTGCTTGGTATGTCTGCTTGCTATGTCTGCTTGCTATGTCTGCTTGCTATGTCTGCTTGCTATGTCTGCTTGCTATGTCTGCTTGCTATGTCTGCTTGCTATGTCTGCTTGCTATGTCTGCTTGCTATGTCTACTTGGTATGTGTGGTACTCACTGCCTGTCTCAGCAGCGCTCGACAGGGCCCAGCGCTTCCTCAAACCCGACGGCATCTCCATCCCCACCTCGTATGTGCCCATGCGTGCTGACTGTCTATGTACCTAGCCCCCCCTCTCCCTGCATCGTTCATACCCGAACGGTCCCCCATTGCAATCCTGAGACCCCATTGGATTCAGTGTGCATACTGACTCCTGACTGTCCAGCCAATGCAATCCTAGCGAGCGAGCTGCTGGGGTCGTTTGCTGACTGTCTACACCCGAGTGCCTCGACGGGGCACTGCACTATCTCAAACCTGACGGCATCTCCATCCCCGCCTCGTGCGTGCTGCCTGTCTGAGTAATCATCTATTTATTGATCCATCCATCCACCCATCCATCCATCCATCCATCCATCCATCCATCCATCCATCCATCCATCCATCCATCCATCCATCCATCCACCCATCCATCCATGCGTGCTCATGCGTTCACATCCATCCCGCCTGCTCTGCTGTGCAGGTACACGAGTTACATCCGCCCCATCACATTCTCCAAGCTGCACAATGATGTACTCTTGCTCGTGCTCACCCCCCTGCACCACTCTGCACCCCCCTGCACCCCCTTGCTCTTCTGTGCACTGCCCGGCAGGTACACGAGCTACATCGGCCCCATCACCTCATCCAAGCTGCATAATGATGTACGTTGTGAGAGAGTTTTGACATTTCTGAGAAAGGAATTGGCTGGCTGCGTTGCTGTTGTCATTGGCTCAGTGCCTTGTTTCCCTTGGCACAGGGTGGTGGTGCTCCTGCTCTCTGCCCCCCCACTCTGATGGTCCTGCCTCTGTTTGACACGATTCTTTCTTCAACCTTTGGCACAGCAGCGGTGCTGTTCTTTGCGCCGCCGTTTCGTTCGTTCACCCCCCTCGTCACTGTCCTTCACTTCACTCGGTGCCTTGTTTGTCTCCCTCTCCGGCCAGGTGAAGGGGTGCAACGGCCTGGCTCACTTTGAGACGGCCTATGTGGTAGCATGCTCACTCCTCTCCCCCCTATATCCCTCCGTCCCTCATGCTCCCCTGTTGCCCCCTCTCCCTCTCCCGCCAGGTGAAGGGGTGCAACGGCCTGGCTCACTTTGAGACGGCCTATGTGGTAGCATGCTCACTCCTCTCCCCCCTATCTCCCTCCGTCCCTCATGCTCCCCTGTTGCCCCCTCTCCCTCTCCCGCCAGGTGAAGGGGTGCAACGACCTGGCTCACTTTGAGACGGCCTATGTGGTGGCATGCCCCTTTGCACCCCCTCTTCCCCTCTCATTCCATTTATTGTCGCCTCTTCTCCCCCCAGGTGAAGGGGTACAACGATCTGGCTCACTTTGAGACGGCCTATGTGGTGAAGCTGCACAGTGCTGCCCGACTCACAGAACCCAAAGAGGTGAGAGAGAGGGCGTGCATGGGGCATGGCGCATGGCGCATGGCGCATGGGGCATGGCGCATGGGGCATGGCGCATGGGGCATGGGGCATGGCGCATGAGGCATGGCGCATGGCGCATGGCGCATGGGGCATGGCTCATGGTTCATGGCGCATGGCACAAGGCGCATGGTGCATGGTTCAAGAACATGAGCTGAAACCATTGGCGAGACGAGACAGTGCACTGAGTGCAAGGCTTGTATGAGATGAGGTGCCTCTCTCCTCAAAAGAGATCGTGCAGCACAAGCCACCAATCCACTCACCTCCTATGTACATCGGAGACAGTTAGAATGGAAGGCGAGTGGATTGGGGGACATGTCCCAATGAGACTGAATGAAGTCTCTAATCCTTTCCAGCCTCGGCCTACTTGCTTTCGTCCTCCCTCTTGTTCACTTCCCTCGTCTCACCTCCACAGGTATTCACCTTCACCCATCCCAACCGCCAAGAACCCATCGACAACACCAGATACAAGCGTCTGCTCTTCGACCTACCTCCTGACACTGGCTCTGCTCTAGTCCATGGTGGGTGGGTGTACTTAGGTGGCTTTTGAGTCAACTCAAAAGTCACCTCACTGGCTCTGCTCTAGTTCATGGTGGGTGGGTGGGTGTTATGGTTCCGCACGTGCTGAGCAGGAACAAGTTTGTGTAGCATGCGATCAGCTAAGCACCACAACAAGTTCACAATGCTTTGATGCTTTTTGCTGTATGGTGACAAGCTCTGAAGCTCCGCGTCTCAAGAATCCTCCCTCCTTCCTCCCTCCCTCCCTCCACATGGCCCACAGGGGTTGGAGGGTACTTTGATGCGGTGCTGTACGGTGACATGCATTTCGACATCAAACCGAGGCTAGAGGTGCCTGAAACACTGCCCCCACTTCCCCACCTTCCTCCCTCCCTCCCTCCGCACTGCCTGCAGGATTCGGAGGGTACTTTGACGCGGTGCTGTACGGTGACGTGCACCTAGGCATCGAGCCCTCCACTGCCACTCCTTCCATGTTCAGCTGGTGGGTCGTGCTTCTCCCCGTTACACTGGTTCTGCTCATCCTCTTCGCCTTATCCTACTTCCAAGCCCTTCAAACACCGCCACCGCCACGCCTTCAAACACTTGACCGCCACATTTCTTCACTCACGATTTGAGGCACCTCAAAATTCTTTCTCTCATGCTTCCACAGTCTAATCTCCCACCCTACCTACCCGCGTCTCGACCCATGTTTCTTCACTCTAATTTTGAGGCGGCTCAAATTGCGTTCCTCCATGCTCGCACCATCATTTTTCACCCACCCTTCCTCCCAAGTTCCCTCCCCATATCCGTCCTTCTCCACTTTCCGAGAATGCCCCATCCAGTGGCTTCTCCCCCACACCCATCCAGTGGCTACTCCCCCAACCATCTCGCTCTGCCCTACCACCCCCATATGCGTCTGGCACTTCTGGATTCGCTTCCCTTAGTATTTGCCAGCGGGGGAGAAGCTAAAATTGCACTTCTGCTGATTTCTCCCCTCTTCTTCCATCCCCATCAGTTCCTTCCCCCTCCGTGCTTCCCCACCCCTCCAGGTTCCCCATATTCTTCCCACTGCGCTTCCCTGTACATGTGCCTGTAGGGAAGACGCCAGAAGTGCACTCCTGCTCCCTGCTCTCCCCCTCCCCTTTTCCTTCCTCACCCGCACTCCATCCCCATTCCCCCCTTTCCCCACCCCCCTCCAGGTTCCCCATATTCTTCCCACTGCACTTCCCTGTACATGTGCCTGTAGGGAAGAAGCCATAAGTGCACTTTTGGTGCTCCCTGCTCTCCCCCTCCCCTTTTCCTTCCTCACCCGCATTCCATCCCCATTCCCCCCCATTCCCTGCCCTCCGCCAGGTTCCCCATATTCTTCCCTCTGTGCTTCCCTGTATACGTGCCAGCCGGGGAGAAGCTAGAAGTGCACTTCTGCTGATCACTGCTCCCCGCTTCTTCCTTCCCCATCCATTATTTTCCTCTCTGTACCCCCCTCCCCTCCCCCTACCCCCACAGGTTCCCCATATTCTTCCCGCTGCGCTTCCCTGTATACGTGACAGCGGGGGAGAGCCTAGAAGTGCACTTCTGCTGCTCACTGCTCTTCCCGTCCCCTTATCCTTCCACACCCGCACTCCATCCCTGTTCTCCCCTTCCTCCCTCCCCCAGGTTCCCAATATTCTTCCCTCTGCGCTTCCCCGTATACGTGCCAGCAGGGGAGAAGCTAGAAGTGCACTTCTGGCGATGCGTTGGGCCCACCAAGGTATGTTCCTCTATCAGGTGTCGTTCGCAGGTTGGGCCCACTGGTGTGATATCAATGACTGGTCCTTTACCAGGTATTGTACACGTGTGGGTTGGTTCCGCTTAGGTGATTCTAATTTGGTTTCTCTATCGGTTGATAATCATGTGCTGGTCCCAAATGATTTGATATCTAGGCGTGTAAAGCCTGAAGCCATTAACGTACACTCAACAATCCTCTCTGCTACTTCATTCCCTCCCTTTTTCTCGCCCCCTCCATCTCCCTCCTCCCCCGCACCCCCCCTGCTCTCTCTCTGTCCCCTGTATTGCTCTGTGTGCCCGGGGTTCTATCTCATTGCCCTGTAATCCTGGAACAGGTGTGGTATGAATGGGCAGTCACCGCACCTTCCATGTCGCCCGTTCACAACCCTAACGGCCGCTCATACTGGGTCGGATTGTAGATCTAACCTCTTAATTTTGTTAGTGTCCCCGTTCTCTCATGGTTTTCTCTGAGGTGCTGACTCGTCATCAATGCTCTTTAAGGCATACCGGTAGCTGAGTTCATGTATCTGTTTAGTAGATGATGCTGTGCATTTTCCAAAGAGATTCTGATAATATCAAGTTATGTTACGAGAGAATACGGTAGTAGGCGAAGAAACCACTTTCTGGAAGTTAATGGGGTAGATCAACACGAAAACACGTAGCTGTTTTCACGAGCGTTTGATTTCGCGACGCAACTGGCTGACACACACCATTCGCGAAACCAATTTGCGGTTGTCGCTTTACCAGCGAGTGGTCGAAAATCTTGGCGCCAAGACCCCAACGGAAATCTGAAAGTTCAGAGTTCAAGAAATTGACTAGCCGCATCGCAAATGTGAACAAGGGTGTCTGAAATGTATCGCGACTCGCAAGTCGCGACCCGTCAATTGGGCCATTGGAGTGGCTATAGTCTGCCCAAGGTCCAGCACCAGAGATACTGTCCTACTGTTTTAGTACTGTACCGTCAAGCAATATTACACGCAGGGGAGGAAAATTACACGGCCTGCTTGGGCTGTGAGGAGGAGCAAATGTTGCATTGCTACCAGTCCAGTCCGCTGCAGTCCTTGTGTTTCTTGAGTCAGGAAGTGGTGGGGAAAAGGTGGTCACGAATGCAACTGCGTGCGGAGCACAACCGTTTCTACTCCCTGCTTCTCCTTGTAACGGAGAGAGAGAAGCGGGGAGAAGCATCGTAACGTGAGTATCATGCTTGACGATGAGGCTATTGCACTCCGTGGCCTGCCAGAAGCTTTCATTGCATCGCATCGCACCATTGCGCTGCGCACCAAGGCGGTCCTTGGTACGCAACACGGGCCCAATGAGCTAGAAACTAGTGCTCGCTGGTTTACCAGTGTTTCTTGTGAGGCGCACGCTCTTGTGAGGCACAGTGGACCTTGTGAAATGGAGTTAACAACGCTTCATGGGCGCAATGTGAACAAGCAAAAACAAGTGCAAACCGTACCACATACAAACACCCACTTTATTAGGCAATCACAGCCCACCTCATACGAACTAATGCATATCCTACATACAGCAGTAACAGAAGAACTCTATGTTTGCCGCTCAAATCGTCACCTCCGGTGGCACTTCACCGCCGGGTCCCGTCCGTCTCAATCCCGGCATCGTCAGTAGGTCTGATACTTCTGATATCCGTTCTTACCACCTTCACAATTGTTGATTAAAAAAGAAGCGGCCATGAAACCTGAAGTTGAGAAACCCGTGTACTCTTCTTTGCTTCCTCCCTCGTTCACGCCCCACCCTTGCTTCCCGTTTCCGCGGCAGAGGAACCCGTTTCCGCGGCCCTCCTCTACATGTAAAATTGGTCGTCCCACTTGTCGATGTCCTTATTATTAGCAGCACTCTTCTGATATTGGTTCGTCTGACAGTGTTGCTGCTGGCAGTGCCGGAGAATTCAAATCTTCGACTCAGAAGATGTTGCGCTTTTCCCCGGCCGCTTCTCGTCGGACGAATCGTCCGCCACCACTTGAACGAACACCAAAGAGTTCAGATCCTCCGCCGAGCGCAAGTTCAGGTCCTCCGCGCCCCTTACTCTCCGCCGATGCGGGGGAAGCGCGCGCGGATCTTCCTTCAGTTTCCGCCTGGCTGCATCCAGCGCCTTCTGCACGGCTGCTCGGTGCAGGCGGACAAACGCGGGATGCGGGCGAAGCATTCCCGCGTGGTGCGCCTTGATCACACAGTTACTCCCGTCATCCGCGCCGGTTTTCCAGCCTTTCTCACCTCTACCGACGGCATCAGCGGTGGCAGCGGCGGCGGTGGTGGCGGCGGGCTCGGCGCTACTGGCGATGTTGCTCGTGATCATGTTCCCTGATCGATCCGCGCAGGGGACCACGTTATGCACGCGGATCCGCGGGGCTTTAACCAACATGCCATCTTGGCTTTTCTCGACGCGAACGGAATGAACGTGCTGGATGATAAAGAGCAGGATCGCGATGACGGATCGTACGGCTATTGCTGCAGGAGCGGTTGCGACGGGGTTACGTCCGAGACGTCGGTTATGGTGAAACATTGTCAACATCATGTCGCGTCGAGCGAATCCAGGGTCTGGAAGTGAGTCGATTTTCCAGGATAAGAGCTCCTCTATTCTAACCTTTTGATTCGCGGTGATAATCAGACATGGCGTGGAAGGGTTGGAGATGTGAGTGACTTCTTGCCTGCGTCTTTCGCCATGGAAAAGTTAGTGTCAGAGGAGAATGACCACTGCGAAAAGAACGACACGTTTATATCAAGGCGGTGAGGTCTCCTTTATCCCATCGGATGAACGGCAGCTGATGGCAAAAGGTCGTCAAAGGCTAGCGTGAATGGCACAAAACGTGCGGTGAGGCCGGCAAAGCTTCTCCGTGCTGTAAACTGTCTACTTCACGATGCGACACCATGTAAAGCTTGCACGTCCTCTATGTTCTTTACATGCTCTATGTAAAGAGCTTGCACGTCTGCTCCTATAAGAGAGCAGTCTGCTAACATGGCCACGGAATGAGAATCAACTGATCCCTTGACCCCAAAAAGTCCTCTAATCTGCTTGACTACTACTCACTCTCCCAGTGGCCGATTTGGTGGGCGAACTGCTAGTGGTTGGCAGAATGGTACTGTGGGGGAAGAAACAAAAACAGAACACTCGATGGGCTAGCTTGATTGACAACGAAAACGAACACGGCTGAGGTGGGTCACAGTATTTCGGTTGACGTGGTTGAATGCGGTTTATCGCGTTTACCAACGGTTCTCTATTTTCACCGTTCTAGACCATTGCGCACCAGCATGTACCTCTCACAGTCAATTTAAAAGGAACGAAAATGACCCGCCCTGAAGGAGACTCGAAAGTTATTTAAAACCGAGTGGAACCCAGCTGAATCCTACCTAGACCTGTCTCGAGCCGTAGGTCCTGGAGCAGGCCAGAATCAAAACTCGAAAGAGGATAGCACGGCTGGGGTCAAACACTCGAGGCTTTTGGTTCATACTGCACACTTTCTCCCCACAAGGGGCGACGGGCCGGGGCCTAGGCTAGAAGGGCATTAGGTGGTGGGCCCATTGATGTTAGGTCCTAGGAACGACCTACTCTGATAGCATATTAGAATCTAGCTTGACTTAGGAACCATGGCTTGGGTTCAGGGCATAAGTGTCGAGAGAATTTTGGGTGAGGAAAGTCGAGAAGGAAGAATGAGTGGTTTCACTATAGAAAGTTGGGATACAAATAGCAAACCCTAAATTGGGTTGTACTCACTCCAGAGTACCCCACTGCAGGCTCAACATCAAATACATTCTGACACAGCCTATGTAGAGTAGGTCGCCTACGTAGACGATGAGCAGGATGTAGTCGGTCCCTTTATGTCAGAATAATGAACGAGAATGAATGAACTATGAAAGAGTTGGGTACAAGTACTAACCCTAATTGGGTTGTACACCTTATGGGCTTACCCACTATAGCCTACACAAATGTAAGCACTATAACATTTTGTCACACCCCCATAGGCAAAGTGGGGGAGAACAAGTGGTCACAAGACCAGTCAAGAAAAGCAAAGCAAGCTCAGGGTGGATCACAAAGTCACCACAGAGTCCGAGCACAAGCAAAGGGCCACAAGGCCAGTTCACATGCAGATTTATATAAAAGAGAACAAACAATACAGTGATCATACCCTAGCAAGTGTAAGCATGCAGGTATATATATAGATCACAGTACAAGCAAAGTCAAGTAGTAAGCAAGTGAGGCAAAATAGGCACAAGGCCTAACACAGTAGAGAAGCGCTGATGATCACCAGGCGGAAGTGCCTTGGTGAATACATCAGCAGTTTTGGCCCTAGTGGCCACGTACGCAAGACGAAGCTGGCCACGCTGCTGCAACTCTCGAGCAAGGAAGTATCGCAAAGCGATGTGCTTCGTTCTATGCTCCAGTCTGTGCTCCTGACACAAGGCAATCATGGCCTTGTTGTCTACGTACAAAACTGGAGGTGAACGAGGCTGCTCTCCCAAGTCAGTCAGCAGGTAGGTGAGCTAGCGTAGCTCCTGTGCAGCCATGGCCCCTGCGTAGATCTCAGCCTCACAACTGGAGCTGAGAACCGAAGACGAGCGGGTAGACCGCCAGGAAATAGAGCCGGAACCAAGGCTGAAGGTGTAACCCTGTCACGACCGCTGCGTAGCTGAGTCGTCAACCCAAGAAGCGTCTGCGTGACCAGTGAGGACAACTGGACCCCGTCCTCCAAGCACGAGCCCCATGCCCGACGTATTGCACAAGTAACGCAGTACCCTCTTCGCAGCATCCCTGTGCACCTTTCGGTGCCTAACGGGAGCCACGTAGCGAGCCAAAAGGCTGAGAGGGTACGCGAGGTCAGGTCGTGTGCACGTCATCAGGTACATGAGGCAACCCACAAGCTCTGGGTACGGACCACTCGGCTCTACGGACTCGTCTGAAGGTGGAGCTGAGAGCGAGTGGCTGGTAGACAGAGGAGTGGGCTGTGGTGATGAGAACTGGAAACCGAAGCGCTGAAGGACCTGGTGCACCATGTGTGACTGAGTCTCGGTGATGGTGCGCCGTGCTCTGTCCCGGGTGATCTGCAAGCCAAGATAGCTGCGCAATTTACCCAGGTCAGTGCAGGTGCATAACAAAAACCCTATGCCAAGTTTGGACGAATTTGTCAAAAGATAGTAGGCAAAGTGTAGGCTAATTTTAGGTGAGGGCCTAGGCTTAGTAGCCTAGGCCAAGGGAGTCGAGGTGGTTTGTGCCAAGTCGAGAGGGGCGAGAGAGGAGAATGAAGTTCACTATAGCACTAGGGTACATATACCAAACATAGGATGCAAAGAAGGTGCACCACCAACAAGTTTATAATAACTACACTAACTACAGCTACAGGCAGTTACAGATATATTCTAACAGAATTTTGATTTTGATTGTCTTCGCGTAAAAAATTCCTGATTCAATTTGTCTTCCCTTTTATCCCAATGGTCTAGTGGTTGGGATTCTGACAGCTTTTCCGGATGACATTCGGGCGCAATCCGTTTTGTTGCAAATTCGTGACCAAATTATTCAAAACTAATTTTTGTTTTTGTTCATTTTGGATATTGAGGATTTTAAAACTGCATTTATTATTGCGGTTTACAACAACCATTATTCAGCATTCTAGCAATAAGTAGTCTTAGCACCAGGTCAAATAGCCTACGCACTGGCGGGCCTTGAAAGCGCCCGGTGGGCAAGGACGACATCTCCAAGGTCGCCATCGTCGATGAGGAACTTGTTAGGAAAGACGAACGCACCCATAGCCGGATCGTGGGGGATCCTCCGCTCCACAACAGCAAAGTGGATCATCTGTTTGACCTTTTCGCACCACTCCTGGTAGTCTGGCCTGTTATGTTCCGGCTGGCTACTGATTCGCATGCGACGCTTATCCTGCAGAAGGGGCCATTCGATCTGCAATGTGGTGTAGGGTTGGGTGGATGGTTTATGAGGAGGGTGGGTTGCGGGTAAATGAGCCAACTGAAAGCGGTGATTCAGTCGTCACTATCTACGTAACTCCAAAGGCTTAATTGACCAGGTATTTAGCTGAAGTAGAAGCAAGGGGTGAAGGGGATGAGGCATGGGGGTACAAACATATATCTACATCCTTACCGAAAACAGGCCCCATGCCACCATGCGGCTCTTGAACTTGGTGAACACCACCCCACCCCTCTTGAAGGACAGATTGAATGCATAAGCGAACAAGGGGTTGCTGAAGGGCGTCCCGGTGGCCTTGTCAAAGTGCCAGTTGAGGGCCCATTGTTCTGTATTTTGGCAGGGAGGGTAAGGGTTGGAAAGGGTTTTGTAGAGAAATCAAGTGGGGGGATGAGAGTCAGGGTGAGCCACATCGCACGGTGATATGTAGCTACCAACTGGCATATGGTGTTTTCCAGTTGCACATACCATCTCTGTACTCGGCTAGGAGATGATCGTCGTCGAACCAGGTCGTTGGGTGTATCTCAGTGGGCAGGCTTTCCACGAGATGGCTGTAATCGGCAAGGCCCATGCCGGTGTATGCTGCTGGCCTGAGGGTGGAGTTGATAGTTGACCTTGTTGAGGGCAGCTGGTGGTTGAAGACTCCCATGGTTGACTTGTCATTGTGCAACCACAGCAGCTTCATTGCCTCGAGCCCTTCTGCAGACAAGTGGACAGAGAATGCGTCGAACACTTCCTCCGGTGTAGGGTAGTACTGTATTTTCTCCGGCGGGTTCAGAAACATGAGCTGAGAGCACACTAAGTAGGCTTTGTTCTGCGCAGAGGTGTAGGGTATACAACAAGACATGGGAGAGAGAAACCAGCAGTTATGAGGGTGGCCGCGTGACCAGGGGATGGTGACTAGCAACACTGTGTGAACTTGCCACGTCACACCCTGCGCCATCCGCCACGTCCACCAACAACCCGCCCCACTTGCCACGTCACACCCCCCTACCACAAGCCACGTCACCCCCCACCCACCTGACACGCCTCGCTTCGTCATGCGCCGCTCACGTGTACCCTTTCAAACCGCCACGTCATCCCCAACCCTCACCTTCCGTCACGTCACACCCTCCTGCATCCGCCACGTCCACCAACAACCCGCCCCACTTCCCACGTCACACCCCCCCACCCCAAGCCACGTCATCCCCAACCCTCACCTTAAACGCCTCGTCTCGTCATGCGCCGCTCCCTTGTACCCATCCCAACCGCCACGTCATCCCCAACCCTCACCTTCCGCCACGTCACACCCTCCTGCATCCGCCACGTCCACCAACAACCCGCCCCACTTGCCACATCACACCCCCCTACCACAAGCCACGTCACCCCCCACCCACCTGACATGCCTCGCTTTGTCATGCGCCGCTCACGTGTGCCCTTTCAAACCGCCACGTCATCCCCAACCCTCACCCTCCGCCACATCACACCCTCCTGCATCCGACACGTCATCCCCAACCCTCACCTTCCGCCACGTCACCCTCCCCCACCCCAAGCCACGTCACCCCCCACCCACCTAACACGCCTCGCCTCGTCATGCGCCGCTCCCTTATACCCTCCAAAACCGCCACGTCATCCCCAACCCCGCCCTGGTTGCCACGTCAACCCCAACCCGCCCCATTTGGCCCGCCACATACCGGGAATGGGTTTGTCTCCTGCAACACTAGCACTCGTGCCTTCTCCGCGGCACTCATCGGCGGCGGGATACATTTCATAGGCACCACTGCGGACCCCCCGGCATAACTGGCAGGTGCTCCACGACGCAGGCCGAGCTGAGCAAACATGGCGTACATCTCAGACCGTAGCGCCTGGAACTCCTCCCGTGTAACAAACTGCTCGTGCTCCGCACTTTCACCTAGGGCACCCAAGAGTGGGGGAAAAGGGTGTGAAGAATCCCCCTTCTGGCCAAGGGGATCAACGTCTTCTGCAGCAGTCCCGTGTGCCCTCACACTATCACGCTGGCGGGAAAAGGGCAGCTCAGGGAAGGGATTGGCAGAAGTGCTTGGCCCTTGCCCGCGCGAAGGACCGGCGAGGGGGGAGACGACCCTGCCCCAGACAGGAGAAGCGTGGAGCTGCCGATATGGGTATGAGGGTGAGGCGAGTGGGGAGTGCGTGACGTGGCCTGGTGGAGGGGATTCGGATTCCTCTCCTCTTGGTGCGCCGGGTGCCCTGGCAGCGACTTTAGACGGGTCGGAGTATGGCGTGTAGAACCTTGGGGCTCCTGTGGATAGCGGGGTAACACTCGCTCTTCCGGCCCCCTTCGTTAGCTGCATCCGTTGCACGCTTACCGGTGGCCCAATGCCTGTAACACGAGGGGCTGAGATTTATAGGGAGCAGGAGCACAAAATTAGAGTCGATTAGTTTCAATACAGGGGCACACATGCTTGCATACGATCAGCAGTTTGAATCTAAATCGGGTTATAACGGTTACTGTTTTGTAACAAGAGGCCTTACCTTGCTTTGCAGATTCGTCGACCTTCTCCTTCCCTGCAGGGGAGAAACAATGTGAAGAAATGTGTTAATTGGCACGGTTGATCAGAGAGTTCAGCAGCCACGCCATGTGTATGGGCCACAGTGCTTACCTTTCAGCTGTCCCTTCGGTTTTTTTGCTGCCTGCGCCTTCTCGTTGCCACCTTTCCGCGGGGTGCTTTGGCTGCCGCTGCGACGTTTACCGGCTGGTTCTTTCTTGCCGGAACCCACTGGAACCCCTTTGACGCGGCCGCCCTTTCCTTCACCATCCCCTTTTGATCCCTGGATCCCTTGCTTTTTACCAACCCCTTCGCTTTCGACCTTCACTTTATGCGTCTTCGGTTTGCCCGCTGCTTCGCCACGCGGGGCTTCACCTGCCCTGCGTTTTCGGGAATGGCGAGTCCGGCCCCCCACCTTCCCTGTACCACTGCCCCGTCTGCCTCGCCCGCCCCGTCCTTTCACTGCCGCCACATCCTCCTCCTCCTCCTCTTCCTCATCCTCCTCCTCCTCCTCCTCCTCCTCCTCCTCCTCCTCCTCCTCCTCCTCGTCCCTCTCCTCCTCCTCCTCCTCCTCCTCCTCCTCCTCCTCCTCCTCCTCCTCCTCCTCCTCCTCCTCCTCCTCCTCCTCCTCCTCCTCCTCCTCATCCTCGTCGCCCCCCTCCTCGTCCTCCTCCTCCTCATCCTCTTTGTCCTCCTCGTCATCATTCTCATATTTTTCTTCCTCCCCAACCTCCGCGTCCTCCTCCGCATCCTCTTCATCCTCCTCTTCCTCCGCATCCTCCTCCTCATTAGCCTCCTCCTCCTCATCCCCCGCATCCCCCTCATCCTCCTCCTCCGCATCATCAGGGTCTTCTTCGCCCCGTTTCGGCCTCTTCCCCCTCGCTGCTTTCTTGCCCCTCCTTCCGCCGGATGTTCTCCTCGCTGCGGGTCGGCCCTTCTTGCACAATGCATGACCCGTCGCCTTGCCACTTGCTTCCCTGGCGCCTCGCATTGTCCCAACTTCCGCACCACCGGTGTCGTCAGCACCGCCTGTTTTCTGCCGCCTCTTCGACCGCGTATTGATGTCCCCGGGCACGGCGGTGTCATACTCTTCCTCCCCATCGCTCTTCCTCTGCCTACGCCTCCCACGTCCACCAGAAGGAGGAGAGCCACCTACGTCCGCGATGCTGTGTTGGAAATCCTCCATCGAATCGTGCTCCCCCGCCTTGGCCTTATCCACCACGGCAGCAGAAATTTCGACCATGGTCGGCTGGAGCAGCGTCAGTCCGTGTTGGGATGCCTCCGCCTCGGACTCCTGGGTTGCGGCATGCTTGGCGCGGGGAGCGTCGCCGTGGTTTCCCCCTGTCGCCGAGCCCTCTCTCTCCGCCAACGGGACTGCAAGACTCACGCTCCCTCGCCCCGGATCTTCTTTGCCGCCGATGGTGCCGTCGTTAGTCGGACCGGGCTCGGTTCCACCAGAGGCAACATTTGCATCTTTTTTCATGGTAGAAACACGCTTGCGTGGCGTTGGTTACTTCCCCTTGTCTTCCGCCTTCTTCCCAGACTTCTCCTGTCCTTGCGCGACCTTTGTTAACGCCACTTTTTTCTGTTGAATGCCAGTCGCGGCGGACGCATTAGTAGCTTTAGATCCGCCACTACGCTCCCGATCGGTCTGAAGAGACAACCTCCTTGTCGCGCGTCGTCCAGCCTGTTCCTCCTCCTTTTCTTTTTGCCGAGTTACATGTGTCATGGTTGTAGTACGAATGCTAATTTCTAGCGTGCGGAACGGTGGAGCCGGTTTACTAGGGGAACCGCAAAGGAATGTAACGAAGGGAGACTCGACGGTCTATTCAATCATCTATCTCTGAAAACCTCCGCTTCAATTAACACTGAAATAGTAGTCACTAAGCACAGAGCTATGGCCCACTACTGTTAAAATCGTAGCTTGAACTTAGGAACCATAGCTTGGGTTCTAGGTGCTAGCATGAGTGTCGAGAGAGTTTTGGGTGAGGAAAGTCGAGAAGGAGAATGAAGTTGTTTCACTATGGAAAGTTGGGATACAAATAGCAAACCCTAAATTGGGTTGTACTCACTACAGAGTACCCCACTGCAGGCTAGACAGCAAATACATTCTGACAACTACCTGTCAGAATGTTATATTTGTCTAGCCTGCAGTGGGGTACTCAATAGTGAGTACAGCCCAATTTAGGGTTTGCTATATGTACTCAACTGCTTGCTAGTGAAACCCCTCTTCTCTGTTTCAATTCATTCGCTCACATTCTAACATGGAATTAGAGCAGGTCGACCCTCACGGGTCGATCCTGTGCATGGGCCCACCCAATGCTTCCGCTGCTGTCATGCCTATAGCGCGCCCGAGGCGCGCGTCACCTGTCTGCCTGCCGCGCGGCATTGTTTTCTTCCCGCCGCGCGCTTGGGGCGCGCGGCGGTTTTCTGGGCAGCGTGACACACTCTTCTGCCCATCGTGCGCCCAGTGGCGCGCGACGGTGCCCTGCCCGTCGCGCGCCCCGGGGCGCACGGCGGTTTCGTCGCCCGTCGCAGCGCCCCGGGGGCTCGTGCCCGGCCCTCCCGTCACCCGTCGTGGCGCCATCGGGGGCCCGCGCGACCCCCCCTTCCGTCGCCCGACGTGGCGCCCTTAGGGGCCCGCGCGCGACCCCCTCCCGTCGCCCGTCGAGGCGCCCTCGGGGGCCCACGCACGGCCCCCTCCTGACGCCCGTCATGGCGCCCTCGGGGGCCAGCGCGCGGCCCCCTCATGACGCCCGTCGTGGCGCCCTCGGGGGCCCGCTCGGCCCCCACCCCAGTCGCCCGTCGTGGCGCCATTGGGGGCCAGCGCGTGGCCCCCCTCCTGACGCCTGTCGTGGCGCCCTCGGGGCCAGCGCGCCCCCCCCCCGTGCCATCGCCCGCTGTGGCGCCCTTCGGAACCCGCGCTGCCCCTTCTGCAGCCCGCTAGCCGCCCCTCGCCGCCTCCTGTCCCCTCCTCCTCCTCCTCCATATCCCACTGCTGCAGCTGCCGCTGAGGGGGGTGGGTGTGTGGGAGACGAAGGAGTGGCACTAGGGGGGTGTGTCGTGGGAGTGAAACTAGGGGTGCAGCGGGGGGTGTGTGAAAGGGGGGTGGGACAGTTTGGGGATGTTGGGCGGAGGCAGCCGTCTTGTCGCCCGCAGCACCTGTAGTCCGGGGCCTGTGGTGCTGGTAGCTCAGAGAGCCTGCTGTGCCTGTCGCCCGTGGGTCCGTTGCTCCTGCCGCTCGTCTTAGCCGCAGAGCCAGTTACTCCTGTAGTCCGGGGCCGTTGCTCCGGTAGCCACTGTGCGCGCCGCTCCTGTTGCCCGTGTGTCTGCAGCTTCAGCCGTTGCCTCCTATCTCCTTTCCTATCAGTCCAGCCTCCTCCTCCTCACTTGCCCTCTGTGATAGCCTCTAGCTTTACTTATTACTGTGAACTATAAACTGTTGCTTCTTGTACTTGTGCTCAGAATGTGTGGTGACGTTGTGATCCACCCTGAGCTTGTTTTTGCTTTGCTTGTTGTGCTGATTACTTCCCACTTTGGCTATGGGGGTGTGTCAGAATGTTATATTTCTCTAGCCTGCAGTGGGGTACTCAATAGTGAGTACAGCCCAATTTAGGGTTTGCTATATGTACTCAACTGCTTGCTAGTGAAACCCCTCTTCTCTGTTTCAATTCATTCGCTCACATTCTAAGACTACCTTAGCCAACTGGTGAGTCACGGGCGATCTGGAAACGCCTGCGTCAAACAGCGAGCAGCGTCAAAGTTGTGGGCCAGAGGGTGACGGAAGCAAGTGGGTGGGGCACGAGGGTGGTTGGGGTGGCTGGCGAGACTAGAGAGATGACTGTAATCAGATCAGGCTAGATCGGACGGTGTACGTTTTGCCACCCGATCATAAACCCACCCACCGCTCGATCACAACCACTTTAATGGCAGATGTACCGCTTGGCGGGTGCTTGTGTTGCGGGAGGGGTCATTTGAGATGCGTCGGCCAATCAGTGTTGCCAACGCATCAATCAATTGTCATGCTAGAACAGTTTTTGAACCAATTGAGCGAATACAACCTAAACCCTGTAAAGTACAGTGATGTCGCGAACGAACAATGTTGCACATACGAGCTAAATAACATTCAAAACTACAACAAATACAATCAACAACAAATTGGTTGCTAATGTAATAGTCTGGGGTTGTGGTAAGGTAGTGGGTTTGTATCATGTCACACACACAAAGAGCGTTTAGAATTATTACTTCATACAATTGAACTAAGCACTATTAGGCTATGCCACAACGGTTACGCGTTGCTGTACGAAATCTAACACGACGACCACTAGTGCCAAACGAGAAACAGTTGTGGTATGGTGTTGGATTGTGCTCAACACTTGTATGGACCTTATAAAAGGTGCATAAAGGGTGTGGTATGAAGCACAGGGCTAACGCACAAGCGTTGATGTGTTATCGACAGCCATGTTTAGACAGGGCGACGCTGCATCGTTCAGGCCCATGTTTTGCGCGACATGGTTAAACCGTTGTGGTATGGTGTTGGATTGGGCTCAATTCTTGCATGGACCTTATAAAAGGTGCATAAAGGGAGTGGTATGAACCACAGGGCTAACGCACAAGCGGTGATGTGTTATCGACAGCCATGTTTAGACAGGGCGACGCTGCATCGTTCAGGCCCATGTTTTGCGCGACATGGTGAAACCGTTGTGGTATGGTGTTGGATTGTGCTCAATTCTTGCATGGACCTTATAAAAGGTGCATAAAGGGAGTGGTATGAAGTACAGGGCTAACGCACAAGCGGTGATGTGTTATCGACAGCCATGTTTAGACAGGGCGACGCTGCATCGTTCAGGCCCATGTTTTGCGCGACATGGTGAAACCGTTGTGGTATGGTGTTGGATTGGTCTCAATTCTTGCATGCACCTTATAAAAGGTGCATAAAGGGAGTGGTATGAAGCACAAGGCTAATGCACAAGCGGGTTTAGGCCCATGTTTTGCGCGACATGGTGGAACCGTTGTGGTATGGTGTTGGATTGGGCTCAATTCTTCCATGGACCTTATAAAAGGTGCACAAAGGGAGTGGTATGAAGCACAGGGCTAACGCACAAGCGGTGATGCGTTATCGACAGCCATGTTTAGACAGGGCGACGCTGTATCGTTCAGGCCCATGTTTTGCGCGACATGGTGAAACCGTTGTGGTATGGTGTTGGATTAGGCTCAATTCTTGCATGGACCTTTTAAAAGGTGCATAAAGGGTTTGGTATGAAGCACAGGGCTAACGCACAAGCGGTGATGCGTTATCGACAGCCATGCTTAGACAGGGTGGCACTGCATCGTTCACTCCCATGTGTTGCATGTCATGGTGAAACCGTTGTGGTATTGCATCCGACGTTGAAACCGTTGCATTATTGTATTAGATTGGGCTCCATTCTTGCATGTTAATTCAGCACGGTGCTTTGAGGTCCCCAAAACCTCTTGTGAAGTGACGATATACATATTCGGTACATGCAACAATCTTACGGAAACACACTGAGTTCATGGGTAATACCCGTATGTTTCCATACCACACTAGAGAACTAGGAGGGTTTACAAACCCTACCTCTCGGACACTCCCGCTGCTCCCGCTTCACCTACCGCGTCTAACGCATCCAACACCGTCAGTGTGAGCGGTCCTCCTCGTGTGCTTGAAGCTGACGAGGACAAAACACCCTCGGCTGTTAACGAGGGGGCTCCGGAAGATGAACATCAACCGCCACCAGGAACACCTGCAGCTGACACGAGTGAGCATCCTGAGAGCCAGCCTGAAGGGAGTCAAGCCTTGCCGCCTACAACCATCTCCGGACAGAGCGATGCCACGCCCCTCAATCCGCTCGCGTTGAAGCTGCTTCGTTTCGTTCGGCGCGTGAATGGCGGAATGGGAATGACAGAGGTTGACATCAATGGCTTGCTTCAGCTCGTGGTAGAGCCCGGCCTTGCACCTCTTGTGACCTCGGAGCTCCGGAACTGCAAGGATCTGGAGCGGTTCGAGATGGAGCGCTTGGCAGGGCTCAATCGCGGATGGTCGGTGGCGACATTCGAGATTGACGGTCATCCACCTTAGCGCCTGCTATTCCAAAACTCAGCTCAGGTAAGCCGACTCTGAATCCTTGGCAGTGAAATGCTGATGTGGCAACCTTGTGGTGCTTGTATGAAGTTATATTCGTTCTCCTTGTATGAGATCGGACCCACCAATCAACGCATCTAACCATGCCCCTCTTCTCTACTACCTTCGCCACCGTAAACCAGGCATTCGCAGAACTATTTGGGCATACCAACAACGCGCCCGGCTTCAAGCTCAAGGCTCGGGTCGATGAGGACCCTGACACAGGCGACCGTCGCTATACCACGCCGGAAACTGGAACGTGGTGGAATGATGCTTAGGTATGGATACACCCCATTGCCACCCAAAACCGGATCCGTGCTCATGCCTCCGTTGCTGCGCTGATG